CAGATCCTCCCCCAAAACTGCAGGATAGGGTAGGTTATCAGCTACCCCAACCTTCAACAGATAGGGAGCTCCCTGCACCTCAACAAACATATCAGCAGTGGGATATGATTTCTCATCACCATGTACACAGCGAACTGATATCGTTTCAGAAGGGCATATACAATTAGTTGGTGCATGGTTCTTGTGCACTAGAGTCTGTGTGCTGCCAGTATCTATTAAAGCATTTATTTCATGCCCAGCAATCTTCACTGTAATGATTTTACTTGACTGCTTTATTTCAAGTTTAACATCCACATTCTGATGAGGCACAAAACACACTTGAGTTAGCTTACTTTGATTCTTAGGACACATGGGTTTGGTGTGACCTTCTTGTCCACAGAGGTAACACACTGGAGGCCTTTTTCCTGCCTTAGAAGGCTGGTTTTCTCTTAAAAAAGGCTTACCCCCACCCGTTGCTAGCTTTTGATGAGGCTGATAAGGTTGTAACCGACGTGAATCTTTGGCAGCTCTCCATGCACTGTTGCTCCATGGCTGACTCCTACTTCTGGCGGCCACAAACACGTCAGCGAGAGTAGCAGCTTCTGCAGCAGACTTCGGATTGTGCTCCTTGATCCAAACCTGAAGCTCAGGACACAACATTCTCAAAAATTGTTCCAGAATAATCAGTTCACCAACTTGTTTCACAGTTTTATCTTTAGGCTGAACCCACTTCTCATAAAGTTCTTTCAGCCTTGAATATAATTCTTTTGGACTCTCATCAAGAACATCAAGGCAGCGAAATCTCTGTCGGTAAGTTTCTGGATTTATATCATATTTTTGTAAAATGGCAGCTTTTACCTTTCCATATTCCAGGGAATCATCCACATCCATGTTAACATAGGCACAGCGAGCCTTACCCGTCAGAAGAGGAATGAGATGGAAAACCCAGTCCGATTGTGGCCAACGATAAGCAGCTGCAATTCTCTCAAACGTGGTCAGAAAGTGCTCAACAACATCTTCAGCAGTCAATTTTTCCAATTTAGGATGATGAAGGTGCACAGACTGACCTGTTGAGCTGAAAGCTGAATCCTCAGGTTGAGATGTTGCTTGAATCTGATCAATTTGAGTTGTAACAGGTGGTGGATCAGTTGATGTGGGCTCAGGGGGCGGGGTTGTCCTGGCCTGTATTTCCATCTGCAAAAGCCGAAACTGGTGTTGCAAGCTCCTAAAGCGCTGTTCTTGTTGTGCAGAAACTTCTCTCTGCTTTTTCTCCCGAACTTCCTGTTATCCCATGAACGCCCGAAGAATCCCAGCAATATCATGCAGAGTTGGCTCTCTGGGCTCCTCCTCATCAGTGGCTTCAGCTGCTGCTTCTGAAGCTCCTCCTTCCATTTCCTCCCTCTCTGATTGCTGGGAAGCCTCTTTGGTCTCAACCTTGTTTCCTTTTCTTGGGCGCAGACCGTTCTGCATGGCTCAAAAAAAAATTGTTGGTGGGGGAAAAATTGCTCACACAAAAAAAAAAAAAAAAAAACAGAGAAAAGAAAAGGAAATCCTGGCTCCTCAACTCAAAATCCTCACTTCTGACACCACATGTGATGGACCGAGTTAAAAAAAACAGGAGGAGTCGCAGGATATTAATTAGAAAAATTGTTTTTTTTTTATTTTAACCCAAAAATACATGACAAAAGATAAACTGAGCTCATAAAAGAGGTCAAAGAAACAAAACTGAACTCAGGCAAAAATGTAAACAAACTGGCTGTACAAAAAACATAACTGACCTACAAAGAAATGACAGATAGGGGTATATATACTGGCTGATCAGACCAATTTAGACACAATAGGGGTAACTAAACAGAATACAATTACAAACAAAACAAATAACAGTACAGCTAAGTTTGTCTAAACTAAAGACTCACAAAATGAAAATCAAAACCATTAAAGTCCAAATACCAATATTCCACTAAATGCAAAAACTCATCTAAAGAAAGAAACTACACATTCCCCCGCCAGCAAGGACCAGTGGTGCAGTCCAATCAGCATCCAAATTTGCTGAGCCCTGGCCCCCCATCTTTTGTCAACTTCAGAGTGTGGCCATGGATTTGGCCATCACAGAGATAATATTAATTTATTTCTCTTAGCCACATTTTAAAACAGGAAAAGAAGAAATAGTGAGAGAGATAGAGTTTAGAACATTTTTAACAGCTTAAAAATAGTAGCTACTAGCTAATAAATTACCTCTCTCTACAGTTAGGTACTAGAATGAAAAACATTAAAACAGTCAGAGCTGTGAGAAAACAACCAAGGCAGGATTATGATTAATTTAATCTTTCTAACACATACAGCATGAAGGAAGTTAAGTAAGGAAATAAATATCACTGTTTAAGCACTGCATCAGAAAGGAACATCTTATTAAGACAAAAGTCAAAGCTTCTGTCTGTGAGCCCCAGGGCAGCCGTGGCTACAATGTAGCTTGCCACCATCAGTGTGTGAGTGTGTGTGTGAATGGGTGAATGAATGTAGTGTAAAGCGCTTTGGTCAAGTCTCCTAACTTGAATAAAGGCGCTATATAAGTACATGCCATTTACCATTTACAAACATCATTATAGGGTTCTATTTTCCTCCATATTGATCCAGTTTGTGTCAAACTTCATATTTTAGACAGATGGTTTCACATTCGACACTAGATGGTTATGTTATACAGTTCATGGCTAAATTATTGACTTTAAGATGCAACTTTCCTTCTTGGTAAAGCAAGGCTGGTTCATACAAATCTGACTTTGCATGTGTTGGTTTTACTTGGTCCGGGGATGCAGCAAAAATGTGGATTAACTGGAATGACAGTTGAATGGCAGGAAGAGGATATGTATCTCAAAAGGTGCATTTAACCCTTTTAGCCTCAAACTCTTCTGCAGAAAGGTCAGTGATGTAACAGGAACAGAGTTTAATAAAGGAAGTGGCTTCCATTCAAATTCCTGTTGCCAACAGCCTATGTAATGGCTTTCTTCTCCTGTGATTCCAACCGAGGTGAATGTAGTGCTTCCCGAAATCGTCTGCTGCTGCAGCAGAAGAGAGCTAATCCAGCTCTGGCAACCTAAATATAACTGCCAAAGGAATAATTGTGGGGCCCAATTACTGTTTGCCAAGGAGCCGTTAGAAGCCGCTGACCTATACCATACTGGTCCCACCGCCAGCTAACCGCCGTATATAAAAGTAGATGCCCCGAGCTACTGTGAGTTGTAAAATTAAGCCTGCAAAGGGGCCTCTTGTTATTGATAGGATTAATCCAAATCTCTTTGAGAGCTGCTTTTGGACGAACGGACTGGACAAAAGACGGGGCCTGCAAAGAAACAAACCAAGGGCCAGAAAGTCCCTTCCATTCCACCGAGCCAAAACCAAAACATCCATCCTTCCCTCTTTCCATCTGAGTCGGAATAAGTGCTTTGTTTGGGTGAACTAGGTAGAATAGATCGTTTTGTTTTTGTTTAATTTCAACTGCTGATGGTTTTAAGAGTTTTAACTGAATGCTAATGCTCCCTGAACCAGCTGAATAACAAACGTCAGTCTGAAAAACCTACTACAGTGGACTGGCTAGCATTGTTAGCTCCCAGCTACCTCATACCGGACATTTACTCAAGGTTGAATCTATTACCACAAAGAAACTACAACTAATCACATTGAACTGCCACGTGAGATCACTAATGCCTAAATAAAATTTGTAAACTTTAATTTACAAATTTGTAAATTACAAACAATTTTTGCCCGGACTTTTTCACATTTTTGGAATTTCATGCAAATCTCTAAAACAGTGGTGTCAGAATTCAGTCCTGCAGGGCTGCTGTCTTTATTTTTTCTCCCTTGAGGTGCCTGCTACCTCCTTAGCATTTCAAAGTTCTGCATATGTCTGCTAATGATCTACCATTTGACCCAGGTGTGTTGAAGGAGATAAATAAAACATATTATAGTGGATTGAAAGTTAGAAGTACCCCCACCCCCCACACACAAAAATTATTTAAGCACAGTAAAGATACGAAAAGGTAAGAAAAAAGAACTTAAGTACAGCAATCAAGTGAATGTCCTATATTACTTTCCACCACTGCTCTAAAATAACCTCTTAAATTAGCTATATCGGTATAGTGGTAGAGGAGATATTTATTTATTATGATTTAAAGAGTTGTGTTTGTGATTAGGCCTTATCAGACTGACATATTTAGATCTAAACTTTTCATAATAAACTTTAGAAATTTTTGGACAATCATGGACTGGACACATTCGACAGGAATATTTTGAAACAGAGAGAAAGGAAATGGCTTTGAGAGAGACACCCAGTTGTTAAATCAATTAACCTTTATTTTAAAAAATAAAGTTTAACAAACATTCAAAAAGAAGCTATTATTACTATACAATCAAAAACATTAAAAAAAATGGGACGTTAACAGGAGATGTCGGTTAGGATTTAAGTAACCAGTTATGTTCATAGAAATAATAAGGAGAGACTAGAAACTAACAGACATTCAAACTACAGATTTTAAGATATTTGCTTAAAACTAAAACCAGAAAAAAGAGGAATAAGAACATAAGACTGAAACAAAAAATGGCTTATAATTATTGCTAAATCAAGGAAAGAAAACTAACATCATATTTAGATAAAGTCCTGAACTGATATTAAGAATCTCTACAGACTTAACAAAACATATCCAACCATAGATGGTTGGATATGTGTGGCAAAACAGTTTAACTAGATTTGATTAGCTTTCTCTAAAAGATCAAAAAAGTGTTAACGTTTTTGAGAATATATTTGTATTAATATATTTTATTGAAGCATAAAACAATAATTTCTGATAAAGGCTCTTGTTTTGTAATTTTCTTTTTAATTATTTAGACAATCAGTTTGATCCAGAATCAGATTTATTTTATAAATGGTGACTGATGTCCTGATTGATAATGGTAATTACAGTTTATATCAGTTTATTTGTACATGGATTGGAACAACAACAACATTTAGTCTTTTAACCAACTGGAGCTTAAATCAGTTCTGACTATTTCAGTTTAACGAACTCAGCAGAGGTTCCATAATAGACATAAACTCCAGCATATAGAGGCTTAGTGAATGTGGTCTGGACTCTATGGAGGAGAGTCATGGTTTCAGAGATGCTGTAGAAAGACAGAATACCTGCTCTGTGATCCAGATACACTCCTATTTTAGACGAAACTGGACCTGGTACTAGAGTTTCAACTTTGTTGTCATAAAATGTGTAACTGTCTGAATCACAAATTAAAGACCAATTTTTGTCATATGATTCAAACTCACATTCATCTAACTCTCCTGCTCTTCTCATATTTTTGTATGAAACTGTTACTCCGATTCCCCCTTCTCCTCTCCACTTTACCTCCCAGTAGCAGCGTCCAGTCAGACTCTCTCTGCTCAGGACCTGTTTATAATCAGTAAATCTGTCAGGATGATTGAAATTGAACTCTTCCTTTGCCTCTTCATCTTCTTCATCTACTTCTTCCTCCAGCCTTGTTACTTTTCTGTTTGTCTCAGATAATGCCAGATATTTGTGTGCTGTATTTGGATCCAAAGTGATTTCTCGAAAATATTTTAAAAATTCTGCTCTGGTCACTGGGTTTGGTTCTGGTTCTGACAGTAGAACGTCCAGTTCAGTGACTGCTTGTGAGATGTTTGTCCCTGTGTCTCTCAGGATGTCCTCTAGTTTCTCTCTGAGCTCTGACACAGCTGCTGTCACATCCTCAAAGTATCTCAGAGGACGGATATTGATGCTGGATGAGTGTGTAGACTCACTGAGTGCTGACAGTGAGGGGTAGTTCTGGAGAAACTGGTTGTGATCCTCAGTGTTTAAGAGCTTCTCCAGCTCAGCTTCTTTCCTCTTCAGCTCAGTGATCTCCTGCTCCAGCTTCTTCTGAAGCTCTTTGACTCGACTCACTTCAGTTTCCTGCTGGGATCTGATCTGCTGCTTCACATCAGAGCTTCTTTTCTGGATGTGATGGATCAGATCAGTGAAGATCTTCTCATTGTCCTCCACTGCTTTATCAGCAGAGCCATTGATGGCCTCCACCTCCTGTTGAAGCAGCTTCACATCTTTCTCCTGGTCCTGGATTCTCTGCTGGATTTGTTGTCGTCTCTCCTGGAGCTCCTTCTGCTTCTCAGTCCTTTCTGCTGCAGCTGGGACTGTTTCATGGCCTTTATGTTCATCCATGGTGCAGAGATAACAGATACACTGCTGATCAGTACGACAGAAGATCTTCATCACCTCATCATGACGAGAGCAGATGTTCTCCTGGAGCTTCATGGTGGGGTCCACCAGCTTGTGCTTCTTCAGTCCAGGGACATCATAGTGAGGCTGAAGGTGATCATTACAGTAGGAAGCAGGGCAGGATAAACAGGACTTGACAGCTATCCTTTTCCTTCCAGTGCAGACATCACAGGCCACATCTTCAGGTCCAGCATAGCAGTGATCAGCTGCAGCAGCCTGTAGTCCAGTCGTCTTCAGATCCTCCACTAACTCTGCTAACATTGTGTTTTTTTTTAAGACAGGTCTTCTAATAAATTGTTCCCTGCACTGAGGGCAGCTGTTGATCCTCCTCTGATCGTCTCCATCCCAGAAGACTTTAATACAGTTCATACAGTAGCTGTGTCCACAGGGAATAGTCACTGGAACCTTCAGTAGATCCAAACAGATGGAGCAGGTGATTTTCTCCAGCCGATCACTCTGAGCCATTTTCAGTCTCAGTTAGTCGCTACGCGGGTTTCTCTGTTTTACAGGTTTTATGAGATTGAACTTTAATCTGAACTTTTTTTTTTTCAGTCAGACCTTTATCTATTTCACTATTGTTCTGCCATGTGATATCTGAAAGGTTGGGTGGGGCTACCAATTATAGTTATATGACTTCAACAGCAGGAATAGTAGCAGTGTAAATTAGTAACTGAATGAATAAAGCAGCAGCCTTATTCCTTAGATTTGTGTTGAAGTGGATTTGATTTAAGATTTTCTTCTCACACTTTGACATCCGCTTGTCAGCTTTAAAAACTAAAGCATACTCAAATAAAAAAGGTCATGCTTGTCACTGAAATTACAAATATGACAGTTAGACCAGCAACTACATAAACGATATTTTAAATCTAAGTATACAGCAGCCAGGGTAATAACTTAACAATTAACATCAATGAAAGCAACCTTTGAACCCTCAGTACCGCTTCTGACCTAAAACAGCCATAACTCTCCTCCATTTACAAGTTTAGGATCCTTACTCTTCAGTTCAATATTAAGGACTTTTAAAGTGGAAGGACATTTACAAGCAAGCAAGATGTCAGGCCTTGTCAGAGTCTTGGTCTGTTTGTTCCTGTTTTTCTTGGTTTTCCATTTGTTGTCCTCTGCTGCCCTCTTGTGTCCTCCCTTTCTCTATTTTCCATTCTGCCTGCACCTGTTTTCAATTACCTCGTCAGCTCTCTCTTTGTCTCTGTCCCCTTTAAAAGCCCTCCCTCTTCAGTTCCTGTTTGCTGGATCCTCGTCTAACTTCCGTCTGTGTTCCTCGTCTCTCCCCTCCTTGGTTCAGGTGCGTTTGTTATTTTTCTGTTGGACTTTGATTCCTGCCCCTGGATCTGAGAACTTTAATAAACCGACTTTAATTCACCTCTGCCAACTGGTCTCTGCATTTGGGTCCTCCAAACAAACACCGCCTCATGACAGGCCTCAATAGACCCATAACTTCTTTTTTAAGAAACTCTTCTGCCCTTTACTCATTATCTGTATTAGTGGCACCTGTTTGAACCTGTTTTTTGTATAAAAGATAACTGCAGTGGTGGTTCTAGACCAAATGTACCAGGGGGCCAGGAGGGGGCCAACGTGTTTTCATGGGGCACAGAAAAGCATGAAATAAAAAATGGCAAGGGATCAAATAAATTACGATAGCTGCATGAGGTGAAATTTCTATTCAATTAGGTTTCATTAAAATTCTATGTGTTATTAGGTCAATACATCCATAATTAAGGAATTTTACATATTTTGACTTAATTTAAGTTAAAATTACTGTTTTCTATAAAATCTCAATTAGAAATCAAGAAAAACTGATAAATTCAGCTGTAAAATTCTTTTTATTTTTCTATAATTTGTTTTGAAAAAAAGATTTAGCGGATGAAACTGGGATCCTATCTCAATACCACTGAAACTATCACCTTTTTGTTTTTAAATAAACAGTAAAACTGAATTTGTAAAGAAGAAAAAAAAGAAATAGATCCAAAAGAACTATCAGTTACCATGTCTGTTCCAGCGCATATCATTAGAATAACTTGAGTATTATGTCCTCAGTACATAACAGGGGCAAGGACATGATCTACAGGGGCTCTGGCCCCCGTTGGCCCCTGACTAGAACTGCCCATGGATAACTGTCCACAGCCTTAAACTGTCCAAACTCAACCACAAAGGACACCAGGAAGACAGTTGTCGACCTTGACCAGGCTTAGAGGAGTGATTCTCCTGTAGGCGAGCAGGTTGGTGTGAATATCTGCTTTTATTGCCTTGATCCCGAGTAGTTCTTGGAAGAAGGCCGCTCAAACCAACCTTTTCTTTCTGTCAAAAGGGAGTTTTTCCTTTCCACTTACTGTATGTTACGTGCGTGCTTGGTGTAAGGGATTATATTGTGAATTGGCGCTATACAATTGAACTGAATTGAATATTGAACTGAATTGAACAGCCAAGATGTAACAAAGACATTGATTACGGTTTCAAATTGCTGCTGTGCAGGACAAGGTTTGACCTTGGCCAACTGTCTTATATGATAAAAGCTGGATTTTACTACAGAGCTGATTTGCTGACCAATTTAAACCATCTTAAAACCAAAATTTGAAATGACAGGCTTTAAAAAACCCGTCAAAAAGCAACAGAGGGGGATTTAGAAAGATTTCCGTGACCGAAGACCATCACTTCAGTTTTTTCCTCTTAGATATAAAAGCCCCACTGATTTGGAGGACCCACTCTGCCATATTTAAAAATAAATACATAAATAAATAAATGCTCAATAAATGAATAAGCATACAATTAATTGCACCCAAAAATACAATAATGTACAACTAATAAATGTAGGTAGAAATTTAATATTATCACATTGTAGTGGATGATCCTCCCACCGCCACATCGTGTTAGTATTTTTTTTTTTTTTGCTTTATATTAGGTTACAGTTTATGTTTAAGTTGGTTATTTATTTTAGACAGGTATTTTCTAATGGGTGCACACTTTAGTTAACGTCTGTCTGAATGGTTTATTTACACTTGAGGTGCTGCTGATGCAAACCAACTGGAGGAGGAAACCTGGAGCGTACCATTTTTGAAAGACTCACGGGGAAGACTTGTTTCAAGAAGTTTTCAATTAGTTTGTCACTTAAATATTCACTTATTGTTTCTGCTAAGTAAAAGTTAGTTTTGCGTTATTTGTTTCATAGAATGGTTAATTTTGTATTTATTGGTTCTTTTGTTATGTTGTGCCTCCCTCATGTGGTAGACTTGGGTTACTCCATCCCTTTTTAAGCAGCCTTTAGTTCTTTGTTTGCAGGTAAGTTTTTTTGTTTGAGTTGGATCCTCAGTTGACCTCAGTTAAGTTGGGCCCAGATTCATGTTATTTTGTATTTACGTTATTTTGTATTGCTTTTGAGCCTTTGTTAACCATTTTTACACAATTAAATGAAAGTACTTTTTCAAATTTTGAACACCTTTGATCCCTCACACACATGCAGATGAATAAATACTTAAAAATATAAGTAATAAATAAATAAAGTTTAAGATTAAAATTGACAATTAAAAATAAATAAGGTAATGATAACAAAGGCAAATAAATAAAGAAGCTAATTAAAAGATATACGTATATACATTTATGTCTCAATGTATAATTTAATTTCTACTTGCATTTATTTGTTTATTGTATTTTTTGGGACAATTAATTGTATGTTGCCACCTTCTGGCTTAGAGGATAACTGCTTCTTCCACTAGTATAAAATTACATCATGAGAGGAACAAAAAAAATCACCTAGTGGGGGTGGCCACAAGGGGGGCCAATGATTGGCTAGGGGTGGCCAGTGGGGCTGTGGCCCCCCTCTAGATCTGCCCTTGAGTTTTATTTTCCATTTCCACACATGTTAACATGAAATGAAACAAAATTTGTTTCCCTGGTCTCAGAGCAGCCCAATCCTAAATATAAAACTAGCTATTAATAACTATATGTATAAACATTAAATAAACAAGATAAATATGCTCATTTAAACAAGCAAATAAATAAACAAATGTAGGAGTTACAATAGTAGTAGATAAAATGGGCATTCTGAGGCTTTTTGAAGGATCATTGAAGTTACCACAGAAAGTATTTATTGTTATTTTAAAAATTAACCAGATGTTTTATTTAGTTTCTGTGAATGACTTCCGGTGCTGCATGATTTGCTCTGTACCTTCTTGTTGCATGGTTCTGTAGCATCTGGCAGAAATCTAGAATAGTTTCAACATCCAATGCGCTTAATAAAGTTTTTATTTTCATTCGAAAACGTCATTATGAATGTTGATTCAACTGGTGGAAATTGAAAAAAGACCGGTACCGACGGCGCTAATTAAATAGTCCACTGGGCTGAAATCTAAACATTCCTAATGAAAATGCATTCACTTATCATTCAAAACCTAAACTGCTCTCCACCCAGTGGCGCCTCCAGAAATGTTCCATAGTCACCTGGACTGACAATATTCCAGAAGCGCCGGCCTGGGATTGGCCTGCTGCCCTGTCTCTTTCTCTATCTCTTTTCTTTTTAAGTCTGCCAGTGCAGCAGTGGCGCGCCTATCAGAGAGAAAGTAGTATGTGAGACAAAGATACTCATCCAAGATCATCGGCAGTTTCATTGTTGTTCGTTTTTTATTTAGAAATCACAATTTAAGCTATAAATCGGCTAAATAAACAAATAAAAAATACAGAGGACATGACCTCGGCTTCCTGAATGGTAGTTACAGCCCGGGCTGCATGCATGCTTGGTTTGAGGGATTGCTCAAGAGATTAAATGCTAGTGAAAATCATCACCACAAGCTCATCTAGGATGAACATCTCTTGCAAGTCAACGACTCGCTGCAATCAACTGGTATTCCTTAAGAACTGTTCTGATATATATATATATATATAGATATATATATCTATATATATATCTATATATATATATATATATATATATATATATATATATATATATATATATATATATATATATATATATATATATATATATATATATATATATATATATATATATATATATATATTGGGGTAAAAATCTGACACTAGAGGGCGTCAAAAGCATTTAGACCAGAGATTTAAAAATTCTGATCACCAACAGCAGAAATAACAAATATAACAAATTGCAAAAAAACAAAAATCATAAAATCAAATTACTAAGATTCAAATGTATGCAAAGAACAAAGTATTATAAGTCATAGACATTGAATGAAAATACTGTTACCATAAATATGATCAAAATATAAAAAAGACTTTGTTGAAGAATGTTGTTCGGTCTTTTTTGGCTCTATAACCAGTTTGATTTAGAATCTGATTTTTGTAAACTAAAATAATGGATCATCTGATTAATGAGGATGATGATTATGATCATTAAAATTTCAACATCAACAGTTGAAATTGATAAATGATGAAAGGATTGACCAGAATATATAGATATATATATATATATATATATATATATATATATATATATATATATATATATATATATATATAGAGAGAGAGAGAGAGAGAGAGAGAGAGAGAGATAAAGCCTAACGCCTGAATATACTGGCATCATATATTAAAAACCATCTAAATTATTTGTTTCATCCACACAGTTAATTTCTCTGTGGTTGGTCCCAGTGCTGCACCAACTTTTTTGTTCGCCACATACCAAAATAAAGTTTTTCAAGATTATGCAAAATTAAATCTGCCACTGTTGCCATTACTTAAAAAAACTAAGAAAATTTAGTAACTATTAAGGTAGTGGAGTAACCAGTGTAAAGTTTCCTGATTGATTATGATAATTACAGTTTCTATCAGTTTATTTGTACATGTATTGGAACAAAAACAGTTAGTCTTTTAACTAACCGTTCTGACTATTTCAGTTTAACGAACTCAGCAGAGGTTCCATAATAGACATAAACTCCAGCATATAGAGGCTGAGTGAATGTGGTCTGGACTCTATGGAGGAGAGTCATGGTTTCAGAGACGCTGTAGAAACACAGAATACCTGCTCTGTGATCCAGATACACTCCTATTCTGGAGGAAACTGGACCTGGTACTAGAGTTTCAACTTTGTTGTGATAAAATGTGTAACTGTCTGTATCACAAATTAAAGACCAATTTTTGTCATATGATTCAAACTCGCATTCATCTAACTCTCCTGCTTTTCTCATATTTTTGTATGAAACTGTTACTCCGATTCCCCCTTCTCCTCTCCACTTTACCTCCCAGTAGCAGCGTACAGTCAGACTCTCTCTGCTCAGGACCTGTTTATAATCAGTAAATCTGTCAGGATGATTGAAATTTAACTCTTCTTTTACCTCCTCATCTTCTTCATCTATTTCTTCCTCCAGCCTTGTTATTCTGGTCTTTGGTTCTGGTTCTGCCAGTAAAACATCCACTTCAGTGACTGCTTGTGAGATGTTTGTCCATGTGTCCCTCAGGATGTCCTCTAGTTTCTCTCTGAGCTCTGACACAGCTGCTGTCACATCCTCAAAGTATCTCAGAGGACGAATATTGATGCTGGATGAGTGTGTAGACTCACTGAGTGCTGACAGTGAGGGGTAGTTGTGGAGAAACTGGGTGTGATCCTCTGTGATTGAGAGCTTCTCCAGCTCAGCATCTTTCCTCTTCAGCTCAGTGATCTCCTGCTCCAGCTTCTTCTGAAGCTCTTTGACTCGACTCACTTCAGTTTCCTGCTGGGATCTGATCTGCTGCTCCACATCAGAGCTTCTTTTAAGGATCTGATTGATCAGATCAGTGAAGACCTTCTCATTGTCCTCCACTGCTTTATCAGCAGAGCCATTGATGGCCTCCACCTCCTGTTGAAGCAGCTTCACATCTTTCTCCTGGTCCTGGATTCTCTGCTGGATCTGTTGTCGTCTCTGCTGGAGCTCCTTCTGCTTCTCAGTCCTTTCTGCTGCAGCTGGGACTGTTTCATGGCCTTTATGTTCATCCATTAAGCAGAGATAACAGATACACTGCTGATCAGTACGACAGAAGATCTTCATCACCTCATCATGACGAGAGCAGATGTTCTCCTGGAGCTTCATGGTGGGGTCCACCAGCTTGTGCTTCTTCAGTCCAGGGACATCATAGTGAGGCTGAAGGTGATCATTACAGTAGGAAGCAGGGCAGGATAAACAGGACTTGACAGCTATCCTTTTCCTCCCAGTGCAGACATCACAGGCCACATCTTCAGGTCCAGCATAGCAGTGATCAGCTGCAGCAGCCTGTAGTCCAGTCGTCTTCAGATCCTCCACTAACTCTGCTAACATTGTGTTTTTTTTTAAGACAGGTCTTCTAATAAATTGTTCCCTGCACTGAGGGCAGCTGTTGATCCTCCTCTGATCGTCTCCATCCCAGAAGACTTTAATACAGTTCATACAGTAGCTGTGTCCACAGGGAATAGTCACTGGAACCTTCAGTAGATCCAAACAGATGGAGCAGGTGATTTTCTCCAGCCGATCACTCTGAGCCATTTTCAGTCTCAGTTAGTCGCTACGCGGGTTTCTCTGTTTTACATGTTTATGAGATTGAACTTTAATCTGAACTTTTTTTTTTCAGTCAGACCTTTATCTATTTTACTATTGTTCTGCCCTGTGATATCTGAAAGGTTGGGTGGGGCTACCAATTATAGTTATATGACTTCAACAGCAGGAATAGTAGCAGTGTAAATTAGTAACTGAATGAATAAAGCAGCAGCCTTATTCCTACGATTTGTGTTGAAGTGGATTGGATTTAAGATTTTTTTTTCTCACACTTTGACATCAGCTAGTCAGCTTTAAGAACTAAAACATAGTCAAATAAAAAAGGTCATGCTTGTCACTAAAAATGACAAATATGACAGTTAGACCAGCAACTACATAAAGGATATTCTAAAACTAAGTAAACAGAAGCCAGAGTAACAACTTAACAATTAACATCAATAAAAGCAACCTTTGAACCCGCAGTGCCGGGTTTTCATTGGGCACAAAAAAGCATGAAATAAAAACGGCAAGGGATCAAATACATTACGATAGCTGCATGAGGTGAAATTTCTATTCAATCAGGTTTCATTAAAATTCTATGTGTCAATACATGTTCATAATTTAGGAATTTACAAATGTTTGACTTATTTTAAGTGAAAATTACCGTTTTCTTTAAAATCTCATTTATCACATTTATCTCAGAAATCAAGAAAAACTGATAAATACAGCTGTATTTTTTTTTTATTTGTTTTGAAAAAAAAAACATTTAGCTGATGAAAACTGGGATCCTATCTCAATACCACTGAAGCCGTCATCTTATTTTTTTAAATAATCAATAAAACTGAATTTGTAAAGAAGAAAAAAAAAGAAATAGATCCAAAAGAACTATCAATAACCATGTCTGTTCCAGCGCATATCATCATTAGAATTTCTTTGAGTATTATGTCTTCAATAGATAACAGGGGCCAGGACATGATCTGCAGGGGCTCTGGCCCCCATTGGCCCCTGACTAGAACTGCCCATGGATAACTGTCTACAGCCTAAAACTTTCCAAACTCAACCACATCCAAGAACAGAGAGCTGTTGAAGGACACCAGGAAGAAAGTTGTCGACCTTGACCAGGCTTAGAGGAGTGATTCTCCTGTAGGCGAGCAGGTTGGTGTGAATATCTGCTTTTATTGCCTTGATCCCGAGTAGGCCTTGGAAGAAGGCCGCTCAAACCAACCTTGGTTCTTGGTAGGTTTCTTTCTGTTAAAAGGGAGTTTTTCCTTTCCACTTATGTTATGGGTAGGTGTAAGGGATTATATTGTCAATTGGTGGTATACAATTAAACTGAATTGAGTATTGAACTGAATTTAACAGCCAAGATGTTACAAAGACATTGATTACGGTTTCAAATTGCTGCTGTGCAGGAAAAGGTTGGAGCTGAACTTTACTACATAGCTGATTTGCCGACCAATTTAAAATCACTGTCCATCTTAAAATCTAAACTTCAGATGACAGGTTGAAAAAAAACCCATCAAAAGGCAACATGGGGGGGGATTCAGAAAGGTTTCAAGGACCAAAGACCTTCACTTCATTTTTTTCCTCTTAGAAAAACAGGTGAAAGTCACCTGCAGTCTGACCTAAAATAAAAGACATTTTCATGGTCAGTAAGCTGATTTAACACACAGAAAGTAAAACATGTGTTAAGTGTAGTTTTGTATCATTTTAATCCAGTTAGTGTCATAATTTTTTTTTTATTTGAATTCTTTAGTTTTTTTTATTTTGCGAATTTTATGTCAAGAATATTTCAATTATTTCAATTGCTGTTTCACTGAAGAGTAGTTTCCGTTTCCCTGGAAATTGTTTATATGTGTGGGTCCAGGGAAGTTAAGATATCCTGCCATAGGATCTGCACAAAAATGTGATAATATAAAACTTATGCAACACCAAAGCCATGAAACAGCAGCAGCTGGGAGTGAAAGATGGGGAAGCACATGTATGAGGTACAAAAACACTCCTTAATGAAAAGTAGAAAGGCTGACAGATATATTGTTACCATAAAGGCAAAAGTTAAACTTTAACATCACAGCTGACCTCATGGCTAAAGATAAATATATTACTCATTAGCTAATACTGCAGGTCCACAGTGTTTAATGTCTGCAATTTCTGAGAAATTGAAACTGCAATTGGGAAACCAGCTCTTAAAGTCCTAGTTTCCACCAGTAACAAATTTAGATGTATTTGTTTTTGTTATCTAAACATGCTATATAAAGGCTTTCTATAAAACCTACAACTGTGTCTTGCCCACAACCAAAATCTAATAAATTAGCAAATATTCCCAAAGGAGTAAATTATGATAATCTAATTAAAATCAAAATAACTCCAATTGGGGAAAAAGTTACAACAATTAAATGTGGTCTGTTTAACATAAGATCTCTTTCCTCTAAAGGTCTGCTAGTTAATGACTTGATTTGTGATAATCACATTGACTTATGTTGCCTTACAGAAACCTGGCTGGAGCAAGAGGATTATGTGAGCATTAATGAGGCAACTCCTTCAAGCTATTTAAATTTTCACATACCCAGAAGTTCTGGGTGAGGAGGAGGAGTAGCAACAATCTTCCAGTCTGACTTACTGATTACTCCCAAAACAGTTAATACCTACAACTCTTTTGAACATTTAACCCTTAATTTCCCTCATCTAAATTTCAAGGCAAGAAAACCTCTTCTTCTTGTAACTTTGTATCGTCCGCCAGGTCCTTACTCTGAATTTTTAGATGAGTTTTCAGAGTTCCTTTCTGATTTGGTATTAAAAACTGACAGGGTCATCATAGTGGGAGATTTTAACATCCATGCTGACATTGAAGGCGATAGCTTAAGAGCAGCCTTTAATGCTATCTTAGACACTATTGGCTTTGTTCAAAATGTGAATAGTCCCACACATTCTCATCTTCATACTTTGGATCTTGTGCTGACATACGGCATAGAATGTGAAGAAATAACAGTATTTCCTCACAACCCTGTCCTCTCTGACCACTTTCTAATAACCTTCAGGATTACTTTAACAGAGTTCTCCTCCCCCAAAAGAAGGTTCAATTTTAGTAGATCTTTATCAGATAGTGCAGTTATAAGTTTTAAAGAATCTGCTTCACTTTCTCTCTCCTCTGTGTCGCTGAGCAGTGCTGCAGAGTGCAAAAGCATAGCTTATTCCCCTTCACAGGTTGATGATTTTGTTGATGGGGTTGCTAGTTCTCTGCGTACTGCCTTAGACAACGCAGCTCCTTTGAAAATGAAAACTGTAAAAAATAGAAAGCTGGCTCCTTGGTTTAATGCAGAGCTGCGTACTTTGAAGCAAAATGCTAGGAAACTGGAGAGAAAATATCGCTCCACAGGCCTGCAGGAGTCCTTCCTAGTCTGGAAAAACAGCTTACTGCTGTATAAGAGGACCCTTTGTAAAGCAAGAGCAGCATACTTCTCCTCATTAATAGAGGAGAATAAGAATAATCCTAGATTTCATTTTAATACAGTTGCCAAACTCACCCAGAGCCATAGCTTAGTTGAACCGTCCATTCCACCTGCTCTTAGCAGCAATGATTTTATGGGATTCTTTATAAATAAGATCGATCTTATTAAAAATAAGATCATAAGCAATCCTCTATCCGCAATTATATCTGAGGTAGTCATGGAATCTGAACCGGGTTTAGACTGCTTTGATCCAGTTGAACTTTCTGAATTAGCAAAATTATTTTCTTCATCTAATCCTTCAACTTGTATGTTAGATCCAGTTCCAACCAGGTTATTTAAGGAGGAATTCCCTTTGATCTCCTCCTCCATTTTAGATGTGGTTAATCTATCTCTGTTACAGGGATATGTACCTAAAGCTTTTAAGGTTACTTTAATTAAACCTCTGCTTAAGAAACTGTCTGTTGACCCAGATGATTTGGTTAATTATAGACCTATATCTAATCTTCCTTTCTTATCTAAAATTCTTGAGAAAGAAGTTGCCAAACAAGTGTGTGATCACTTACACCATGATGAACTTTTTTAAGAGTTTCAGTCTGGCTTTAGAGCTCATCATAGCACTGAAACAGCTCTGGTGAAAGTCACTAATGATATTCTCATGGCCTCAGATAATGGACTTGTATCTGTGCTCGTCCTGTTGGATCTTAGTGCTGCATTTGATACAGTTGACCATAATATTCTTTTAGAAAGACTTGAATATTTTGTTGGAATTAAAGGAACAGCACTAGACTGGTTTAAATCTTATCTATCTGATCGGTTTCAGTTTGTTTATGTTAATGATAGATCTTCAACACGCTCAAAGGTTACCTGTGGAGTACCACAGGGATCAGTGCTAGGACCAATTCTCTTGACTTTATACATGCTCCCAATCGGTAGAGTTATTAGACAGCATGGGATTAATTTTCACTGTTATGCTGATGATACCCAGCTATATCTGTCTATAAATCCAGATGAAGCTAAACCATTACATAGATTACAGGCATGTCTTTAAGACATAAAAACCTGGATGACTCTTAACTTTCTGCTTCTGAATGCAGACAAAACAGAAGTTATAGTCTTTGGACCAGAGTCTCTGAAAAAGAAGCTGATTAGCCAGTCACTTCATTTGGATGGGATTAAACTGATTTCAGATAATAAAGTAAAAAATCTTGGTGTTGTTTTTGATCAGGACCTGTCATTTAAATCCCATATCAAAGAGGTTTCTAGAATTTCCTTCTTTCATCTGAGGAACATTGCAAAAATTAGAAATCTCCTGTCCAGGGTTGAGGCTGAGAAACTAGTCCATGCATTTGTTACTTCAAGGCTGGACTATTGTAATTCTTTACTATCAGGAAGTCCACAAACTGTAGTTAAAAGCCTTCAGCTGATCCAAAATGCTGCAGCCAGAGTTCTGATGAAAATTAAAAAGAGAGATCACATCTCTCCTATCCTGGCTTCTCTTCATTGGCTTCCTGTTAAATCAAGAATAGAATTTAAAATCCTCCTTCTCACATATAAAGCCTTAAATGGCCAAGCTCCATCTTATATCAGAGATCTGATTGTTCCTTATGTTCCTAACAGAGCACTTCGCTCTCAATCTGCAGGTTTACTAGTGGTTCCTAGAATTTCTAAAAGTAGAATGGGAGGCAGATCTTTTAGTTATCAGGCTCCTCTCCTGTGGAACCAACTACCAGTTTTCGTCCGTGAGGCAGACACCCTGTCTACTTTTAAGGCTAGGCTTAAAACTTTCCTTTTTTATAAAGTTTATAGTTAGAGTGGCTCAGGTTATCCTGAGCTATCTCTATAGTTATGCTTCTATAGGTTTAGACTTTTGGAGGACATAGGGACCCCTGTGTCATCATTCTGCCCCATTCTCTCTCTGTTCTCCTATTCTGCAGAATCTGTTAGTTCTATCTCTAACCTTCTGCTCTCTCTGCTTTTCCTCACAGTAGCTTTGCCTCGTCTGTTCCTGTTTGGCTGTGAAGTCATCCTGGAAAGAAACATCAGCTGTGCTGCTTCCATCAACATCCTTGATTATTGATGAAGGAGATCGGCCTGTTTTCCAGTGTGGTCCTGTTTCTCTGACCGTGACTGAGTGCATGTGCTCTCTTCATCTTCTGGCATGGGAGCTGGCTCGGAGCTCGTCTGCCTGACTGGTTGTGTTTCCTGGACGGGGCCGCCTTTTAGAGCTGCTTTTGTGTCTCTGCTTCTGTCTCCTTGAACCCCAGTCGGCCTCAGCAGATGGCCGCTCACACTGATCTTGGTTCTGCTGGAGGTTTCTTCCTGTTAAAAGGGAGTTTTTCCTCTCCACTGTCGCTACAAGCATGCTTAGTGTGAGGGATTGTATTTGAGTCAATGAGTCAATACAATCAACTGGTTTTCTTTAGATTAGAAAACTTTGTATCAACTTGACTGTATGATCTGGTTGAACTGTAAAGTGCCTTGAGATGACGTGTTGTGAATTTGGCGCTATATAAATAAACTGAATTGAAATTGAATTGAACTAATTTATAGGAATATAATCAGAGCTTTTCCCTAAACTCTGAGCAGACTCTGCCTTCTGAAACATCTTTCAGAGAACTTAATGAAACTGTAGAAATAAAGCAAACATCCTTCATAGATAATAAATATGACAATTTTATTTTTTGAATCAAAACAGAATCAGTTGCTTACATTAAAACAACCTTACTGAAATACTTAAATGATCTTTGTAATAAAGCTCCAAAATATAAACCTCTAAATAAAATAGCAAGTAGGTATTCTTAACATGCAGCTGTTCTTTAGCCAGGAGCCTTTCATCAAACTGGTCTGTTTTACACGCTCTAGTGTAAATCCAATAAAGAATAACTCAATGAAAGCAATCATCAAAGACAAGCTGAGATCCTGTCTTATTAACCTGGAGCAAAAATGCAAAAATTGCTGAAATTTTGAAGGTTTTATGGGATGAAAAGTTTATGGTTCTGTCAGTCTTGTCATTAGTTCTTTAAGCGTGCTCTGACTCTGCACTTGAAGCAAACAGAAATTACCTAATTCTGATATCATCAGGCTCTGACTAATACAGGAGTTCTTCATATCAAGGTCTCTGCAGGTTACTGAGAATACTTCCTTTCAAACACTTCTTTTTTCATGATTGATAATCTTACATACTGGAGCTACACATACCTAACAAAAACAGGCAGATTCACATAGCTTAACAGTTAGAGGTTATTATGACTGATCATGGATTTATTTTTGGTCATTTCCAGAGATGGGAAGTAACGAAGTACAAATACTTCGTTACTGTACTCAAGTAGATTTTTCTGATATTTTTACTTTACTTTACTACTTATTTTTATGGCGACTTTTTACTTCTACTCCTTACATTTTTACACAAATATCTGTACTTTCTACTCCTTACACTTTAAAAAATTGGCTCGTTACTTTAGTTTTGAATCATTTCAATGGAGTTACCGTTATTATTTTTCACGTCATCAATACCAAATTCAATCTAATTGGATGGGAATCTACATTGCATTTGACGCACCACTACAAGATGAATCGACAGATTCGGCGGCATTCATTCGCGGCAAATCATTGCAGCTTGGTGGCGGTGGCGTTAGCATAGTAGTATGGACGACGAGATGATTGAAAATGAACACAACAGAGATCTAGTCCTATTGACAGACATCCATTTAAAATGTAGGCAACGGCATGAAAAAAGTGGTTTCTACTTTTACTTTTATACTTTAAGTAAATTTATAAGCCTCTACTTTGTTACTTTTACTTGAGTAAAGAAGTTTAATCAGTACTTCCACTTTTACCAGAGTATTTTTTAACACAAGTATCTGTACTTTTACTCAAGTACGGAAAGTGAGTACTTTTGCCATCTCTGGTCATTTCACAGATTTAGATCTAAACAAGCATAAAAGTTTCAGTCACTTATCAAACAGTTCATCTTGTCCTGCTTGTCTGTCAGAGTCACAGTGGGGCTGGTGTCTTTCTCCAGCGGTCTGTGGGCAGAAGGCCAGGTACACCTTGGACAGGTCAACAGTCTAGGACAAAGCAACATAGATGAACAACTCTAAGATAAAGCCAGAGTACCTGGAGAGAACCCATGTATGCAAAGGGAGAACATATAAACTCCATACAGAAAGACCCCAGGTCAGGTATCTAACCCAGAACCTCCTTGCTGCAAGGCAACAGTGCTACCAACTCCTTCACTGTGCAGCCATAGTTATCAAGCCATTTTGGATGCATGCAACCATTCTTGAAAATACTCTTAACAGTCTCTTAGAGATTAAAATTCATCATGTGACACAATTTAAAATAATAACATTAATGATCAAACAGAGACAAAAAAAACAGTAACTAAAATACACATTTTAACCAACTGTACCTCAGAGTAATTCTTACTGTAGATTAACAATTTCAGCAGAGGTTCCATAATAGACATAAACTCCAGCATATAGAGGCTGAGTGAATGTAGTCTGGACTCTATGGAGGAGAGTCATGGTTTCAGAGACGCTGTAGAAAGACAGAATACCTGCTCTGTGGTCCAGATACACGCCTATTCTGGACGAAACTGGACCTGATACTGGAGTTTTAATGCTGTTGTGACAAAATGTATAACTGTTTATGTTGCAATATAAAGACCAAGATTTATTGTTGAATCCAAACAAACAATCATCTGACTCTCCTGCTCTGCTGATGTTCTTGTATGAAACTGCCACATCAACCTCTCCTCTCCACTCCACCTCCCAGTAACAACAGCCAGTCAGACTCTCTCTGCTCAGGACCTGTTTATAATCACTGAATCTGTCTGGATGATCAGGATAAGGCTGTTGCTGGTTTATTCTTCTGACTTTTCTGTTCCCCTCAGATAATAAAAGCCTTCTGTTTGCTGTGTTTTCATCCAGAGAAATTGCTTTTGAATACTTTAATAATCGAGCTCTTGTCTTTGGTTCTGAAAGTAGAACGTCCACTTCAGTGATTGACAGTGAGATGTTTGTCCATGTGTCTCTCAGGATGTTCTTTAGTGTTTCTCTGAGACCCACCAAAGCTGATGTTACATCCTCAAAGTATCTCAGAGGACGAATATTGATGCTGGATGAGTGTGTAGACTCACTGAGTGCTGACAGTGAGGGGTAATTCTGGAGAAACTGGGTGTGATCCTCTGTGATTAGGAGCTTCTCCAGCTCAGCATCTTTCCTCTTCAGCTCAGTGATCTCCTGCTCCAGCTTCTCCTGAAACTCTTTGACTCGACTCACTTCAGTTTCCTGCTGGGATCTGATCTGCTGAGTCACATCAGAGCTTCGTTTCTGGATGAGACGGATCAGATCAGTGAAGATCTTCTCACTGTCCTCCACTGCTTTATCAGCAGAGCCATTGATGGCCTCCACCTCCTGTTGAAGCAGTTTCACATCTTTCTTCTGGTCCTGGATTCTCTGCTGGATTTGTTGTCGTCTCTCCTGGAGCTCCTTCTGCTTCTCAGTCCTTTCTGCCACAGCTGGGACTGTTTCATGGCCTTTATGTTCATCCATGGTGCAGAGATAACAGATACACTGCTGATCAGTACGACAGAAGATCTTCATCACCTCATCATGACGAGAGCAGATGTTTAGTAGGAGTGACTTGGTGGGGTCTCTAAGCTTGTGCTTCTTCAATCCAGGGACATCATAGTGAGGCTGGAGGTGATTCTGACAGTAAGAAGCTGGACAAGTGAAGCAGGACTTGACAGCTTTTATCTTCCTACCAGTGCAGACATCACAGGCCACATCATCAGGTCCAGCATAGCAGTGATCAGCTGGAGCTGCTTGGAGTCCGGTCTTCTTCAGATCCTCCACTAAGGCAGCTAAAATTATGTTTTTCTCAAGGACAGGCCTCGGTATGAACTTCCTCCTACACTGAGGGCAGCTGTGGATCCTCCTTTGATTTTCTCCATCCCAGAAGTCTTTAATACAGTTCATACAGTAGCTGTGTCCACAGGGAATAGTCACTGGATTATTCAGTAGATCCAAACAGATCGAACAGGACATGTTACCTTGGTTTAGTTGAACTGCTCCCTGCTCCATTTTAGCTCTCAGTGAAACATACTGTTTTAGTTTCACTTCTACATAATATATTCTGGTTTGCGCTAGTTTATGCAGGAAGCATCAGTGGTTCCACCTATCACTATGTTGTAAACTAGAAGGGGAGGGAACAAGGAAGCCCTTTCAGCTGAACAATGCCTTTTAACCCTTAACTGTGCTTGCACAACTGAGTGGATTTAAAAAGCTTGCTCCCTTTATGTTGAAGTGCTACATCATTTATTCCAAGATTAATTTATTAAAGAACATAAATTTGGCTACTGCTTTGAAGACTATTAAAAAAATAATTTTGTAGTGTCCATTTTGATGACATTCAAACAGGGCTACATAAGCCACACATGCAAATCCTGTCCAAGATGCAACAGATTTTCGATCAGAGCTTTTTCTGTCATTTTTTTGGTAAATAACTTGAATGCGGAGTATTGTGTGGATTTATTACGAAAAAATAAAGACACACAAAGACAATCAGGCAAATATAAAGACATTCGAGTTGGAAAAGAGAAAGCCGCAGCAGCAGACAAACAAACATCTACAAGAGAATATAATGAGGAGATGAGAAGCCATTGTAGGGAAAGCAAACTGAGGGCTAAGACAAAATGAACAGAAGCAGGCAAAGAAACATGAGGAAGAAATGTAACAGAATTAGCAAGAGAAAACAAATTGCAAGCAAAAGCAAACAATCTCAGCACCCAAAATAAGTAGAAACTACTCAAAGCAAACCACAAAGAAGGAAAAAAAGAAGAATAAAGAAACCCAAATACCCAAGGATCATCACTAAAACCCCCTTCTGATGGCTGATACCAAACGCCCGTGACCCCAGGAAACAACCACCCAAACGAGCTAGCAGGGATTTGAAGGGTTTTGTGTAAGGTCAAATTAGCTTTTGGACTAAATGATAGCATTTAGAATCGTTCTGAACCAGTTCACAGTGCAAATCTGTCAGAACGAAGGACCCAGAATTAAAGCAGACAGATCAGAGTGATTTCAAACAAAACAAACTTTGCGGCTCTTCAGACGGGGCAGGAAAGCTGGAATCTCTGTAGAGGTGGAAACTCAGGTTAGTGACCACGAAACCTTAATGGGGAACGATAGTGAGCATGTGAGTCACTAACCTGGTTTATCCCCTAGAACCCGACGGACCCACCGGTGGGTCCAGCTGCCACGTGACCTCGGCGCGTTCTGTAAACAAAGGCTCCACGTGCCTTTAATTTTTTTATTTTTTTTTATCCGCTAAAAGAGGCTTTAATTTTTCAAAAACTATTCAGCATAAAGGTTTTGCCCAAAATGTTAAGATTTTAGAGCTATTTAAAAACAGCTGATGAGATATAAAGGTCCGCAGGCGATGACGCAACTGCCCGGAAAACACCCGATCAGCTGATCATCACGGCCATTTTGTGGCTTCACGAGACAGTGGAAAGACTCTCAGAGCATGGCACAAGATGTCGGCTATGCAACATCGTGTTTTACCTTGTTTCAATAAAAGTTTTCTATTTGGAGTCAAAGAAAGAGCTTTCAGTTCATCATTATTATACATAATATACTGTGCACAATGGTATATTTTGCATATAAATGGGGTAAATGTCATGACCAATGGTTATATTATATGTAGAAAGTGTCATTAGATGGTAATAAGCTATTTAATTTTAACAAACCCCCAGTATTGATGTAAAAAACACATTTGGCACAGTTTGGTGACATTTTTGGATAAATGTGCCAAAATGGCCCCTCCGCCTAAGAAATTTCTCACTAATACCATTCTAAAATAAATATGATTCATCTGATTGAGTCCAAATTTGGTATATTTTTACACAACATTTAGATTTAAAAGTCTGTACTACTTTTTTGTGCTATAAATAATATTTTGGTTGTGTTTTGCAATATTTATTTAAAAGAAAATTTTGGCGAGGTTCAAAAAATGCTAAATATTTTGTATTTTGTCCATAATATTTCAGGCAGGGTCAAAGCTACAATGGTGCTAACACCAGAAAACCATTCTATGACATCTTACCTTTAAAGAGGTACCAAAAGTTTCTTCTTAAATCTAATAGCTGTGAGGCTATAAGTGATTTACTTTTGTGTGTTTTTGTCAGGCAGAAATTTATTTATACCCCCTGAGGGTGTAAGAGGTTATAAGTTCAGTCCAAACCCTGAGGAAGAAGTGAGACCTAGTAGGATGATTTCTCAACAGCATGCAGTGGGAGCCTTCCAGAGAGTTCCAGAAGTGAAGCAGAGCAGACTGACGAGCAGAAGCCAGCAAGTATCTAGAGGGAAAATCCAAAGGCAGCGTGTGCCTGTGAGTTGGAGGTTTTATCCTCAAGACCATGAAGGGAAGGGTCAAACACACCTGTAGGAGTGTCTTGTGAGTGTCTGCTTTCCAGCAATGGACTTTATGTACAAATGCACCAGTGTATACAAATCCACCAGCTTCATCTGAAGAACCTGGTCTACCGGGACCAGGTCTTTCAAAAATCATGGAAATGAGGAGGCCAGAGGATTTTGGTAATAGATTTGAACAGGTGCAGCCTTCTCCAACTCTTCTGTCATCGCACCTCACTCAGCATAAGCTCTGTCGCATAGCAACAGTGTTGGGTGACGCACAAAGCATGCAAAGAATGGATGCTGAACTCACTACTATTCTGTGTGCCAATTTCCTTATGAGGAGCTTCAGCAGCAGTACTGTCGTCAACGATATCAGGCTTGTAGTTCACACAATGTTCAGATATTTTTCATCTGTGCTCAAATGTCAGCTAAACTCACTTCTAGTTCAAATGTCTCCACCATCCTATAAAATATATCAACCTTCCAGGTGGGTCAGACCCAATAGCTGTGTATGGCCTTTGTAATCACCATCTTAAATACTTTGCTAGAAATAGATCTTTTTAGCCCAGATTATTAAGAAATCAATCATTGAAGATTATCTACAAAATGTAGTGCACTTTCCTCTCCCTTACTTTGTGAATTGGAAAACAACAGCTGATGATATCCATGTTTTCATTAAACATCTTCCCCAAGAGATTTACGGAAGTTTTCTGACTCTTTGCCAAGCTTTAAGAGAAAAAACTAGGCTTTACAAAGATCAGACTCTCACTTTAATTGATGCTTTAGCATTCCACTATAAAGTAATGAAGCGCCATAAGAAAATATTGCTATAACCTCAAAAAGGTTTACCTGACATCCATTCAATTTATTTACATGAAACCAGTTCACAACATATGTTTGTCACGATTTGTATGGAGGTTGGTTGAGGACACAAATTCAGAGACCGAGAGGCAGAGATGAATCTTGTAGATTTAATAAATAAAATAAAAAACAAAGACAGACAACCAAAAATCCAAAATACTAAGAACCAAAAACCCTGAAAGCATCAGGGAAAACTCACGTGGGAAGCCAGAGATGAGGAAAAAAACAAAACAACAACAAGGAACCAGCACTGAGTGACTACAGAGGTGGAGTATATAAGGGGAACAGAACAAAGAATGGGCTAATGAGCTGAATAAGGAGCAGGTGAGAGTGGAACTAACTACAAGGAACCCGAGGGGAAATGAAACAAGCACAAGGGGGCAACATAGAGTAACTAAAGACTGCTTAAATGTATTAGAAAATAACCCAAAGATCAACAAAACAGAATAAGTAATAACTGAAAACTAAAGTCCCAAAAGGGGAGAATCATGACAATGTTATCTCAAGACACTTTACGGAGAAAACTCAATCAAATCATTCAGCAGAGTGTACAAAAGTTTTCTATGGAAACCTGGCTACTTGCATCAAGCCACTGACTTTGTTCTTCCAGGATAAGCCCTGTACTGACCATGGGTTGGATAGCCACAATGAGATCGGGAAGCGTTACTTAACTACCTATGGTCTGTTCCTAGGTGGCTCTATCATCACATTCCAGACTTGGCACAGAGCAATAAAGGCAGCCTTTAAGCAATGTTACACAACATGTGTGTGTAATGAATCTACTTTTATAGTTAATGTAATTGCTTGTTGTTCCTTATTAAGGCCCCGTCCACACGAAGTCAAAACGAACACGAAACGCTAATATTTTCCAGAACGTTTGTCGTAAAGACGGAGACGTAAAATAAATGTGATCGTCCACACGAATGCATGAAAACGCTGCAAAATGTATGCCAGGCCTGTAAGTGGCGCTGTGGTACCAAAGCAAAAATAGGCGACGAAATGTTGGGCATGCGCACTAATATTTATACATGGTTGCCCTGCGGGTCCATTTTCGTGGTTCAGTCAAATTCAGGTGCTGAACTATGTCGTCGATATTGCTCTGTTCTTCCTGGAGATATTCCAGAAGAAGAAGATTCTGTTGTAAGCCCGACAGCAGGGTGAGTAGCATTAGCAGCAACCATTCAACACAGTACGGCGCCGTTGTTGTTGTGATACTGTTTCGCGCATGCGTGTTTAGAGGCGACGCTATGACGCATGCATGTAAAAAAAAAAAATGCGATTAGAGCTTAAAGATGGAAACGCGAAAACGGCGTTTCAAAATCTTCCCACTCTGAAGGCTGAATAAAAAAAAGATCGTTTACAGACCCCCGAAACGCCGGCTTCGTATGGATGAGAGGCCGGTTTGGTGAAAAATTTGTGCGTTTAGGCCAGGGTTCGGCTTTGTGTGGACGGGGCCTAATTTGCTTCAAGCTGCTTTGTAAAATTTAATAAGATGAAAATGTTTTTTATTTCAAACTTTAAATAAACACACACATATAGTTTTAAATGTTTGAAAAGCCTTTCTATACAGCAAAAAAGGTGTTCATATTAAAATCAAATTTCCACGTTTCCGTCCTGCAGTTGATTCAAAGGCCTCTCCAAACAATGCTCCCAGGCTGAAATTCGACCCCAGCCCACCCCACTAGCAACAGCAAATTCTCACACCAACAATCCCTCACACCAAGCATGCGTGCTGCAACAATGGGGAGGAAAGCAATACTTTTTAACATAAAGAAACATCCTGCAGAACCAGACTCGGTGTGAGCAGCTGTCTGCCAAGGTTGCATGGAGGTTCAAGGACACAGAACCAAATGCACAAAAGGA